TCCAATCATAACGATTCTATGATTCTATAATTACTGTTGGGGTGCTTCTGCTTATCTGAGGAATGCCAGGAAAATAATTTATGCTTTTGTAAGTAAATCTTCTGTGTGTGTAGATTCTGCAAGTCTGGCATATCAGCGTGTACAGAAGGTGGACTGTACCTCTCCTAGGCCTGTCCTTATTCTAGGACCTTTACTTGATGCTGTGAAAGACATGTTGGTCAAAGAATCCCCTGGAAAATTTTGCAGATGTCCTCTTGGTAAGCATACAAATATAACCAATTTTTTCTTGCTTAGAATACATGATAGTAATATCTATATAAGTGAACTAAATGGTAGCACAAACATGGAAAAAAACCTCAAGACTCTAAATGTGCAGACATTGTTTCATTAGCCTTGTTCTATGCCTAAGGAATAGTAATGAGAGTGGATCTCTTCTGGTTTATGAAACAGAGGTTATGAAAGCTTCCCAACAAGCAATTGAACGGGGTGTGAAGGATTGTCTGTTTATTGATTATAAACGAAGGAGTGGACATTTTGATGTGACAACCGTAGCTTCAATAAAAGAGATAACAGAAAAGGTGAGTTGCTTTTAATGCTGTAGGTCTTTGTACAATTTGCAATATACAGTCATACTATGTTGGGGGGGGTGGAAATTATGTTAAGGTTGTCCTCCTTTAAAGCATTCAGAGAATTGTTCCCCAGGCCGCTGAGTAAAATAAAAGTTACCTCACTTTGGCATGTAACAGTTTAAAGATTATTTTTATGCAAGCTCACCTTTTGTAGAAACTAGGTTTTTTTTCTTTTATAGTATTATTAAAGTTAGAAATTATTTTCATAGATTCTACCCCCTACTGCCCCGCCCCCCCCGCCCCCAAGAGGATTTTGGTTTTTTAACTATTTGATTTAATACAGTCATATAGAATATAAACATAATAATAATCCTGGAGACAGACGCTAATTAAAATCTGTACATTGTTTACAGTTTTCTGTCAGACCACACAGAAAGTCTTATTACTATAACGCTTGTGTTTGCTTATGACTTCTGAAAGAGAAAATGAATATGAATATTTAAATTTGAAAAAAAATGTATTGCATATATTTCAATCTGAGTTTTCATTTCATTAGTTCTTCAAATGCTTTTATTTCTATCAATGCATGCTTTTGGTACTGTGAATGGAATTTATTGCAGTTTTTCATCTTCTGTCTTTTTTTTATAAATCCTTTGGGTACAAATTGCTCAGTAGCCCCAAAATGCTAAATGTGTAGCAAAATTCTGTTGGGTTGCTATGATTTAAGTAGGGGAAGGATTGGGGGATTAGCATGTGTGCTTGTGCTCTTTAACTGAATGAGTGTTTTGCATTTACGTTTGATCTTAGGATTGTCATTGTCTGCTTGACATCGCTCCTCATGCCATCGAACGGCTCCACAGTGTTCATATCTACCCTATTGTAATTTTTATTCGCTACAAAAATGCTAAACAAATCAAGTAAGTCTGTGAGGGGTATAGTTCAGGGATGTTTATTTTAGCTTAAAATAAGCTTGTTACCTTTATTGTTCTTTCATCCTAGTCATCTTAAATCTCTTTTAAAATGCGGAAATTAATCCTCATAAAAACTACTGTGAGAGAAATGGTCTTAACTTCATTTTGGTTGCATGACAACTAAGTGAATCTTTCAAAGAAATCAAACAATGTATACTAAACTGTACGTACTCCAGGAAGCACTCAGATCTTTCTTGATCACCCTTCTATTAAACCGTAAGACAGATACAAGTGAGATCTAGTGAGGATTAAGTGATGACCATGACAAGAGCTATTCTTCATCTTCTCAGCGGGGCCAAGTGTGTGGATGCAGTGCCAATTGATTCATAACCTCAGCTTTCCCACCTTCATTCTCCAGTGAAAACAGCAAGGAAAATCCCCTTTTGCTATGGAATGCATATACTGTGGTCTGTAGGTAAATTTGACTCTCTATTTAATAAAGAAGATAAGTGTCACCACTTTCAAGTAGAAGCAAGACATAAAGCAATGTGGTTTATTTCATTACCACTGTAGGATCATGCACTTGAATGATAAATGGAACTGTCATGTCTTGAGCCCCTTTGGAAATGGGATGGTGACCATTAGAGCTATTTACTTTTTTTTTGGAAAATAATAGAGAGCATTTGAACTAGAGAAGCAATGATTTCTAGCAGTCATCAAAACAAGATGCAGTGGTATATGGTCTCTGCCTGTTATGAGCACCAAAGGTTTTTCTAAACAGCCTTTTTGATATAGCACAGGTTCTGTTGGCATTCTCTGAGATGCTACACAGCAGTGATAGGTTAGTTTAGTAGTGGTTTTCTTTATGTAATAAAGATGTGCTTCTTTTCTCACTCCTGTAAGAAACTATGCTTATATTTTTTCAGTACCTATCTGTATGACCTTAATAGTTGATTATAAATTCTACTTCCTTTACAACAGAATTCCCTACTGGGGACCTCGAGTCAGATTTAGAGGAGAGTGTTAGAAACCTTGATTGGAATTAATTTTTTTTTTTTTGCCATTTGTATTTCTTTGTATTTTTGCCTTATTTTATTTCCAACAGATTGTATAATAGAAAACCGGTCATCTCAAAAAATGTGTCATATAAGACGATGTAGAAATACTCTATTTGCTCAATGCTTGATACTTCAAGCCTTTAAGAGTGATACTTGAGCCCAGCTTTGTGTAGGGAGTACTGGAATATATATATGAGATGATTCAATTCACATGAGCTGGAAGAAGTTATATTCTTTCTCCCTCAACCCCCTCCCAATCTCTGAGATTTTATAAGAATGCTATCTTGGTCTGATAGCAAGTAAATTTATTAGTACTGAAATGATCCTGAGGACTATGCTAATACTGCTGTAACACAGTAGATGGCACTCTATGCACAGGATTATGCTTGCAAATTAATTAGCCTTTCACATTCACCCAACTGGAGGTAATCATTTCAAGTCCATTAAAAAAAAAAATTTTTCTTTCATACAAGGTTTTTTTTTCTTCTTTCTTTTTTTTTACAGAGAGCAAAAAGACCCAATCTTCCTGAGGGACAAAGTTACACAAAAACATTCCAAAGAACAGTTTGAGACAGCTCAAAAAATAGAACAAGAGTATAGCAAGTACTTTACAGGTTAGTATTTAATCAGCATTTCACTAGGAACACAGTGGCAGTTTAATCTATTTAAATGTAATTCAAAAGATCCTACATTCCTTCAAAGAGCACTTCTTTTCTTCATCCTGCCTTCCCTTTTGGCAAACTCATGCTCTGATGTTTTATTTTACTGGGAGAGGAAGTCTCAAGATAAGTGCCATCCTTTGCTTTTACATGTTTTTGTTTTAGCATGTTATGCATCTTCTGACCTAAACAGATTCTGAAAATGTTTTATTACAAGCCAGTAGTATTGGAAGTATGGTCAAGATAATTTGACATAGTGTTGTCAGTTTTGTGCCATGTAAGGAATGTTTTGTAATTGTAGAAATAAAACAAAACCAAACCAAACAAAACAACAAAAAAAACCCTTGTGTAAATTAATGAATGATTTGAGACATACTTTAAATCTTTCAAGAAAGGAAAAAAAATTGTCAAAGGTTTCTTGAGCGTGCATTGTAATTTGGAATAATTAAATTCAACTTCAGAGGCCTTTTTTACATTATGAAGTATATCTCATGAATCTTGGATTGTAGTTAATAGTGTATTTTTACCAGAGGAAGAAACAGAAAGAGACTGTCTCTGCTTATTTTGGAGTATATTTTCATGTGGTTCCATGTATATTCAAAAGAGCGGGGATAAAATTCCAGCCATCTTGATGTGAATGGCAACAGAACTTAAAAAGAAAAAAAACTAAACAAAACAACCCCCAAAAAACACCACTAAACTAGCCAAAACCCAACTTTTCATCCCCCAAACAATGGGATTCTTACAGGAATATTTAGTGACGTACTTGCTAAGTGCAGGGGAGGGAAAGGGGATGTACTTAATATAAAGCTACCTCAGTGCATCCTGAGAGAAGCTGCACGTTCTCAGCAAAATCAGTTACCTGGTATGTAATAGCCATACAAATGTTCATTTAAATGGTACATACTAAATATTCACAGAACTTGACACGCACATGGCCAGATTGCATCACCACATGTTATCTTCTGCTCCTTGTTAAGTCATTTGTTTTATTTTAATTTTACCCTGATAGTGAAAGTAGCAATCAGTCAAGAGTCCTATGTGTTTTCTCACATGCCCTGTGGGAAGAGCCTCCCTCTGTTAGTGCCAAGTACAGTGGACTCCAGCTGTCATCAACATTTCCAGATGCTGGTAGTCAGAGAGGGTTGGTGTTCAAACTACATTGACATTTAGACTTGTTGAAATTGTAACGTTGTGCATAAAATAAGCCTGTAGATAGGCCTGTAGGTAGCTTCCTCATGAAGCTATATGACATACTGTCTGACCTGAGCTCTATGACTGCTTCATGAAGTACATTTTTTGACTAATGACTCTTTCAAGTTGGTTTTGTTTCCTGTACCAAGTTGTGAGCACAGTGTGTGATCTGAATTGCTTCCTCACTGCCGTTTGCCACCTTTCAGAGACCTTGTTGGTTGCTACGTTCTGTGTCCAAACTCACCTGACACTGTTAACTGTAGTATATACTGCAGAGTCAACTAATATTTTATGTGAGATCAAATCCTCTCTTTTCAAAAATGGAAATTATACCTTAAGCTGTATAAGACTGCCTATTTTTCCAGCGTTAGTGGTAGCTGAGGCCAGAGGCTCATGACATTTTTCAAGTCATGAACTTCCTCACTTTTTAAGTCTTAAAGCTAATACATTTTCCACTCCTGTGTCAGTGTTGGCATTTTACTTTTTATGACTGTTATGTTTAGCAAGGGCAGAATACAAGGTATTCATTTATTTTTTGAATTGATTTTCAAGGAGTTGCTTGCTGTTGGCCTTTTGTTCCTTGAATGTAGCTGACAATAAGAACTGGACTAGCACCCGCCACTGTTTTATTTAGCTCAGCTATCTGTGAGCTGCCTCATAATTTAATTCTAATATTTGTAAATAGTGTCTAGTTGCTACAGCTATAGTCTCTATGTATATTACCATGTAAATATAAAACTCTTACCACATGCTGGGCAGAGAAGGTTTATTATAGCAGGTTCTGACCATCTTTAGACTTCAACTTTGCCACCTGATGCTTCTGAAAATAGTGCGTGGAGGCCTCTAACAAAACAGTTGTCTTAGTTGATTATAGCCATCAGTTCTGTGACTTCCCTGGGCTGTTTTAAGAGCTAGCAGAAGAAACTGTATATTGAATGCTTGACCTCTTTGCTCTGTTTATTCTTTTTCTTGTTTTAATAGGGTCATGCATCTAGCAAATACTGAATTGGGTAGATTAATTCTGATCTATTGATAAACACTTCGCAGAAAAATGCAGAAGACTGCTCTTTGTAATTAGTCATAACTGTTTGCTCCAGTCTCATTTGGGGGGGGTGTTTCTTTTTCTCTAGGCATTGTCCAGGGAGGAGCCCTTTCAAGCATTTGCACTCAGATTATGACAACTGTCGATCAAGAGCAAAACAAAGTCCTGTGGATCCCAGCTGGCCCACTGTAGATGTATTTCGCTGCAAAACTACTTTGCAGATGTAAATAACCAACTAACTTTCTATCCAATGGACTCTGTCCTTTTCTGTCTTTATAAAGATATCCGTAAGTGATTTCCGTTTCATGAAGGGGAATGATAACACGTAACACGCAAGGACACAACAAGGCATGTGGAAAGGGGTAGATCACTTCACTAAGCTTGTCTCTTATATCACACGTGTACACTTGACAGGTTGTCACGAGGGGTTGCGACCTGCCTGTATTTGTCCATGAGTAATGAATTTAACAATGCTGCAAAACCCTGTAGAATGACAAGTTTACAAAAACCTTTTCGAAGTATTTGGTTGTTGCTGTTTACTTGAATGTCTTCTGTTTTGTTTTTTGTTTTCTTTTTTTTTAACTCTGTGTCCGTTCACTTAATGAGGTAACTCTCAAAAAACAGAGTGAATTGTCTGAATATGAGCGAATGGTGTATGCGCAATGTGACTCTTAGTACAATTTTGACTGTTTCTAAGAACATTGTTGACTTGACAACCAGGTAATAACGTGGGATTGAATCGGTACGTCTTGGGAGTAAGTTCAGAAAGAAGTACACTCCTCTTACAGGGCAGACCACTGTTTGTATCCTGTCAACACTTGTCTGTCAAAGACACCGTTTTTTGTTTTATGCATGAATCTAATATTTAAATGTCATAATATATCTGAACAATCCAAGCTTAATGTGTGTTGAGAAATAATAATTTTTGGTTGTTGGGCCTGGGTTAGGTACTGGTGAGGAAAGTCATAAGCTAGGCCTAGCATGCTGTGTTCTGTCACTTTTAGATACTGTAAATATGGAAAGCTTATGTTGGTGCAATTTTGCAGGGTAATTCTTAAGCTTTGTACTTCAGTGTGTAGCATTCACATAGATTGTTTTTATTTAAGAGCAGCCACAGTTTTAGGGCTTTGATTAAAAGCCTTTAGAAAGGTACTAAATTGTTAGTGTTTTCACTGTCAAAAAATAAGTGATCATTTAGTTTTGGTTGCAATACTTATTTACCTATTGTACCAAACTCCGTTGTATCAGTTTCCTTTTTGTTTTTTGCACTTCTGACACTGTGTTCCTAACACAGGTTTTGTACCTGTCTCTTCTGTCTTTTGTGCCATGTTTCTTGGGTACTGTATTTTAATTGTTTTTAAAGTATCATTTGAGTAGAACTGCTTCTTGGTCACTGTTCCTAACATTTCATTATGTAGGGTTTCTAGTTTTATGCTACAGACTGTAGTTTTGCTTCTGTTTGTAGCTTTTTTAATTAAAAAAAGGGATTCTTCTTGCACAGTTCTTCAAAGAAAGATCTGGTCCTAAATTTAAATTCTGTTTTACAGAGGCTATTTTATAGTTCAAAATACTTTATATAATATTTATGTAGTTATATACTATATATAGAGAGTATTTTGAACTATAATACATATAAAATATATATAGTATTTTATATAGTATTGTTCCATACTATTATAATACTGTATATATAAAAATTAAAAATAGGAAATGGTATGGATGAATTACTAATCAAAGTACTTCTCATGGTGAGGGACAGCAGTTGTTTTTTGTTTATCTCATTTTTTGTTTGTTTGTTTTTTAAAGTTTGAAGTCAGAGTAGACTCCAGTTTTACAACTGAAACAGACAGGTACTGTTCTGACATGGATTTTCTGTACTAAAATGAAAATGTCACTTTGTATCAAAAAAAAAAAGTTAAAGAAACTGATTATTAAATAAAGGTCAATTTCTATAACTTGACTTGTGTGTAAAAGGTGTGTATAGCTGATGTTCTCCTTGACTCTAGTTGAGTCCTCATGTAAGGTTGTATTTTTCTGACTAAAATTGGCACATGCAGGTTCAAGTGCCCACTTTGAGAGGAACAAGTTTCAGTTTTGTGGTTTTGCCCAGCCTTGCATATGTGAATACCAAAGACATTAAAAAACTGCAGGACACAAAGAGTGAGATGTTGGTTTATGTTAACATATTTTTAACATTCTGTCCCAGTGGTGTTAAGGATTTCAAGCAGAAATGCAATTGCTTGGATGGAGGTTTTAGTTGGAGAATGAATCTATCACTGTTATTTTTCAAGAGTATGTCACTGGAAACCAGGGAAAACCTAATAGGCAAAAGCATGAATCATTAGCTTAAAGGCACATTGTAGAATTCTGTGCCTCAGTTTTTACACTTCAGACAGACCAGCCTCTTCTGTTCATTGAGTTATCTGAAAGCTTAGGGAAGGTAATTTTTGTGTATTAACTTTTATGCTTCATCAGTTGCTTTATGCTCAGATGCCAAATAGTCAACTTCACCATGAACCAGACTGGTGGATGGTCAGTTGTCTTGTAATCTGTATACCTAGTACTAGCCTTCATTCATAAGACAAGACTTGCACCTTATCTGCTTTTCTTGGAAAAAAACACCATGATGCCATTTTCTAATAGAGGATGAAGAAAATGAGAATAGGCATCTTCTGGCAGGTCAGTAACAGCCATACCTTGCATATCTTCTGATCACGAGGAAGCAGAATTGAAGTCTTGGTTATACACTAGAAAGATTTCTTTAGCTCAGATCAGGAGTTTCCTGATACACCATTTTATTTTATAATACTATATGCTAGAGCTGGATTTGGCCATCATTCTGAAAAGAGTAACTTTGTCCAGGTGTTTAAATAAAGAATATAGTTCTGTGGGTGTTTTAAAATTAGTTTAAAAGTAGTATAGCTAGACAACAAAAGTCTGAAAATTTCACCCTCGTGCTCATAAGCCACCATGCATGCAGCATGTATGGCTGCAGGTAAGGAGTTAGCTAGAAATCAGTGTCTTTTAACTTTATTTCTTTATAGCTAAACTGACATATAAACGGCTGAAGATACTGCAGCCCACATGTATGATCTGTTGTTAATACTTTGACAAGCATCCTACTTGCTTTCAAATCTTTGCATTCTGTTCACATTGACTTGAATTGCAGGGCAAGTGGTTGCCAGATCCAGAATTACACTCTGACAACTGCCAACCTCCCCACCTCAGACCAGAGTCCTTTTTCAGTGTCTGATAAATTTGCAGGCCATATCATAATCTATTTCAGTCAATGCAAGCATTACCTTAAGCAGTCTTGAACAACTTTCCTAGATGCATCTCGGATGGATGTATTCATGTTTAAAGTACAGTCTTTTAATTTCTGTAGACTTCCAATTAAGGCTCCATGTAATTTCTAAGATTCTACACCTCCATTTCACAATGGAGAGTTTCTTTTAAAATACATTGACATTAGAAAAATGTGCACTGGCTTGGAAACTAAAGAGACTGCTGTGAAAAATACAGATAGCCAACAAGGCAGACTTTGATCTTGTCCAACAACTAGTGAAGGTCCCAGACCTGCAGTAGGAACTGAACTGTATAAAAAAGGTGCTTGGCCTCTTCTTGTAAATTTTCTTACGGCTGCTGTGTCAGTGAACGTGAGGGTTTCTTATTCATTTGGTTGCTTTTAAAGAGATTTTTTTTCAACCTGAGTTCTCTGTCATTTTGCTTAGAAAATGTCTTGGTGCTCTTCACTGAAAAAATAAATTTCTGATGAACATTTGGTAGCAAACTTTTTAACTCTTCAATTTGACCTCTTTCTTACTATTCAAAGAGATGCTTTTGCTCGCACAACCCAAATGATGTGAGAGTGAATCCAAAAGCCAGGTGAATAGGGGATCCTATTACTTAAGTGTAAGCATACTACCTTAACTTGGGATTGTTCAGCTCTATTTTAACAAAAATTCCTTACAAAGTTTCATAAGAATGCTTGTTTGTTACAGTACAAATAATTTTAGATGAATTTCGTAACTTTATATTTAAAAGTTGTCTAGATGGATCCTTTTGTTGAAGTAAACTGTGCATAAAAAGCATGCTGGGACTAAAAAGATTCAAAACATTTTCAGTACTGGAGGTTACCTTGTAGACCTCCAATATGGAAAATATTTAGAATTTTTAATATATATTTTATATTT